ATTAAAAAAAAAAAAAAGTTGAATTGAAGTTTTAGACATATAACAGCTAGAAATTGGGTGGTCCATGTAAATGCCCGATATTAAAAACATTTATATAGGTCTTGATCAAAAACTTTGAAAATCCTTCCATTAAAAATAATTGCAATCCTTTTTAATGAACTGACACACTTTCCCCAATCTCAAGGCAGACAAACGTAAAAATTAGCCAAACCCCAAATTAATTATCACTCAACCCTCTCCTCCTCAATTCCATGAAAAAAAAAATTAGCATAATTAACAAAGAGATGCATACTCCGGAAGCGAGCAATCCCGAGGCTCCCACCGCCACTTCTGATAAGTGTCATCCACACGGCCGTTGCGCATACACGTAACCTGAGCCGTCAGAAACTCACACCCTTCTTCTCTATATAATGGCCGCGTCACGTTGTCATACACCCACTCGCCGGTAAAGAGGTCGCAGCTCTCCGGCACGCCCACAAAAGCCTTCTCCTTCTCCCTCTCCTTCACGGCAATTATGCTGCTGTTGGCATCCTGGTCTCGGGTTTGTGCGGGAAAGCGAACAACGAAATGTTGTGCTGACTTGGCGAAATGAATGTTGTAGATGAAGGTAGCGAGGAGGAGGGCGGAGAGGACGACGGCGAATGCGGAGATGAGGCCGTTGGGCTTCCGGCCGGCGGAAAAGGAGACGGTTTGCTTGGCGACGAGGGGCTCCGATGACCGCATGTTCGGCGGGGATTTCCGGCGGGGGAAAAGCATCTTGGTTTAGTTGGGGAAGAGCAAGATGGGATCGATTGGTAGGAACATGGTTAATTAATTATGGTGGATGTCAGCTATGGGCTAAAGCGGATTTGGTAGGGGTAGGAAAAAATAATTGTGGTGTGGATGTATTTAAAATGGGAATGGGTCAAGTAAATCATATGGTTAGAAGAAAGGATACTGATTGTGTAAGTTTTTATATGGGGAGTCGATCGGGAGGCTGTTTATTCTATGGTACTGATTCTGCAATATGTTGTCATATGAGATTAGAAAATATGTGTGATGTATTATAGATTAATATTTAATTTTCAGATCTTAGAGTATTTGAGTATTTAAATAGGAAAAAGTTTGAAAATATGGTTGACAAAGTAGATATTGACTTGGGGGTTATTTGAGATTAGTTCTGATTTATATTTATATTTATATTTATATTTATATTTA